GTTTCATGACATTTCACAAAACAGCCCAACTTGTCTGGAATTGTGGTTCATCATCCTCCATTATTTCATCATTTAATTGAAATCTTTTATCATTTGAATTAAGATTATAATAATTTTATTTTAAAGCACAGCCACCACAAAATGAGACTTACTTTGAGATCATTCTGAGGTTAAATACAGATTTAAAATCATAACAAGAAAAATAGTTTAATAGATGCTGTTTTTGAAATCAAATCTTTGCATAGCTATGACAAGAAACACTGGAATCTAACAGTTAATCTTAAAAAAGCATATACATAAACCCAAATAAGAAATAAAACAGTTATCGTATAAACGTGTCATATTCTGTGTCCTAAACTCCTGAAACATCGGTGTCTCATATTTTAGGATTATAATAATTTTATTTTAAAGCACAGCCACCACAAAATGAGACTTACTTTGAGATCATTCTGAGGTTAAATACAGATTTAAAATCATAACAAGAAAAATAGTTTAATAGATGCTGTTTTTGAAATCAAATCTTTGCATAGCTATGACAAGAAACACTGGAATCTAACAATGCCTTGGAAAAAAAAACAGTTCATCTTAAAAAATAAAAACAGTTATCGAATAAGCATGTGTCCTATTCTCTGTACTAAACTCCTGAGATATTGGTGTCTCATATTTTAATCAATTAAATCTGTATGTGTGTGTGTGCGTGGGTGTGTGTGTGTGAAAAATTCAGATATAACCCCCTTCGTAATTGTTAACATTTTCATAAGTAACCATAATTTAATTATAAATTTTTTTCTCAGTAACTGTAACTGATTACAATTACATTTATTTTGTAATTAAATTATGATTATGATTTAGCTTGAGGATTTCTTTACCATCTAAATCAAGCCTTGAGAATGTGGGAACTACAACTCTGCAATCAACGTCTCTGCCAGATCCATTAAGAACTGGACCGGAGAGAGCAGCTGCTCTCCTGACCCCACTGTGCCCGGCAGCCATACTCAGCTGACGCAAAAATCAGTGATAAATCACATGAACTTCCCATGCTACACTATTCATTGTCTCTATGGAGGACATATTTCACTTTTTCCATTTTTTTTATTTTCAGGCTAATGTTATCAAAATAGTCTAAATTTACCAGAGGCAGTCTGTGTGCTCTGGTTATAGCATATTATGTACGTACATAATAAAATGTATATAGTTTACTGTCTCTTGAACAATTGACACTAAACTGGTTGATAACATCAGGCTACTACAGACAAAGCAAGCCTAGGCCTATATATACATATTCACTATAATTATGGAATATTAATCTGTAATCTTAATTCTATAATTTTAAATAAAAATTAATTGATGTGTGAAGTGGTTACCCCATGTTTTTCTCGCAACAAAGAAATGTATTAACTATTTTATGTTGATGTTTACTTAATTTTGTAAGTTTATTGCTTTCAATTAACAATCAATCTCCGCACACCTGACGGCAATTGATAGGTGCATAGGAAACAGAGACCACAAAGATCAAAACTCAAGGAAAAAGAAAACAATTTCCGCTCAATGTCAATAGTGCAAAAGTATCAAAAAGGTTTAATTAAAACGTTTCGGTCGTATGACCTTCATCAGGTATCTTCCTACCCAACAAATACCTGATGAAGGTCATGCGACCGAAATATTGTAATTAAACCTTGTTGATACTTTTGCACTATTGACAGTGTGCGTGAATTGTTTTCTTTTTCCGTAAGTTCATTGCTTGAAAAATCACAAATAAGGGTTTTAAAAAGTAAAATGGGGTTTAATGTCTATAGAAAATTGATTTAAACAGAATAAACGGCTTTTATAAACATTCGTTAGAAGATCAACGTTTCACGAGGTTAAGCACGTCCTTAGGTCTACTGACAATTTGTTGACAGCTAACATGCATAATTTTCTTTTACGTTTCACGCCCTCTTTTGCACCATAATCATGAAATATGCATCTGTTTTAATTCTACACCAAAGAAACCTTTCAATCGCATTTTCAAACATCTTACTATCCATAAACGTTAGATTCAGAGCGTAGCCTATATATATATATTCACCTGGTAACTCCCGCGCTAGCAAACAGAAGCAGCGTTCGCCAGAGGTGGTAACCATAGCAACAAGAAGCACTAGATATGTATCATTTGCTACATTTAAACTATACTTTATAGAGTTATTCACTCATCTGCATCACTGATGATTATTCAGGTCGTTCTTCCAGTCCACACAAAAACACACAAGGGATCTGATTTTTTTTATTGACATTTTTCTGAAATTATTTCAATTTGAGATTTTTCTTTTTACAAGACATTTTACAGAAAACCAAAGTTAGCTAGGTTAAAGATAAAATAAAAGTAAAAAATGATTAGACTTTTTAATGGAGTTTGAAGAGAGAACGGTTACCTAGACCTGTACCAATACAGGTGCACAATACATACAACATGGGAATTGCCCGATATTTAAACAGTTTAATGGCAGGTACCATGTGGCTGCTTGACATTTACTCTGAGATGCATAAAAAGCATCTGTCTGTAGGCTAACAAACATATTTCCCACAAGCCCTCACAATTCTATAGCTTTTCCTGGCATTCCCAATGAGAGCCCCTCTCTGGTTTGGGGCAGACATGCATAGACATGAAGACTTGAACAGAAAAACATATCCTGTGAGACTGAGATGTTTATTGTACTTTGGCTCGACTTTTCACCTGAATATATGAGTTCAGTCCAAGTCTTCATCTCAGTATTTCATAATTTATTTCTCTCTCAAAAACTTCCAAAATCTTTTCTGCCCTCATTGCATCACTTCCCGTAGCCTTAGCACACCAACACCCTGATGGTAAACACTATTATGAAGAATCAACCACATGAATTCTGCCATGTCAGTCAAATGAAAGTGCAGAAATATTATTAAACATCATTAAACTCTATTACATTTCTGCATCCAATACACAAACAGTCCCAGGGTGCTGCTGCACAGCTTGTCATTACTAACGATGCCGTGACGAACGTTGCTACAATGTTGTTTTTATGTTGTTTTGTTCCCTAAACACATTGACAGGTTACAGACACGTCATCAGACTAAAAGCATACACATGCAAAGGCGTGAAAAACACGCATCTATCGTATTCAGCAGAGAGCTAGCTAAATGAACTTAAATTTTTTGCATTGACGTCTTTGCGTCAGTACGGCCGAATGAAAAAGTTTTCTCCTGTGGGCAGCAGGGGGCAGGAGAGAGCACTGGGGTTTTCTTACCAGCAGAAACAGGGGATGAGAAGAGGTGGTGGTGGATGAGCATTCATGATAGTTAGAGGAGGATTAGAGAGAGCTGAAGTTAAACTCGGGATGGAGCGATGGGCCTAACTAATGATATGTGTGGAGATGGTCGGGGAAAAAGTGCAACCATAGGAGCCGGTTCTCATTGGACAGTTGGACAGAAGAGAGACAGATAGTTCTCCAGTTACAAGTGACTGTTAAAAATAATCAGCTGTTTGTCAGACAACAGCTTATGCGGACAGACATGAGAATTTGACTTAGAGTATCAAGTAACTCTCACAGCGTGTGTTTGAGTGTCTCTGCCAACAGTATCGACGTCATTTTGGGTATTTCAGTCACTGCAGTCAGAGCAAAAACACATTACAACTCTAAGTCAGATTTGAATTTCTGTCACAAACCTATTGGGATAGCACTTAAAATTGCTTGATGGGACACATGAGATGACGCCATGAGTGTTAGTGTGTGTTGGATGAAATATCAACAAAAGTTATGTGACTGTAATGAAATTTTAACTGTGAGGAAGTGTGTGTGTGTGTGTGATTCCATGACTAAAAAACCTTAGCTCTCAGTAAAAGAAGGGTGGGGAGGAAGGCTACTTTAGGGGGCCAGCCTACAGGAAGTGATATAATAGCACCAATATATCAGATGACAAGAATGGTGAAAGTATAAATGTAAAAGTAGAAAAAAGACAAAAAGGTGTCAGAAATGCTATAAGGAAGAGAGATTAGAGAATAGGAAGACCAGAGACAGACAAAAACAGAGCGACAGGCAGTAAAACAGAGAAAAACAGAAAGAGAGGGAGGGAATGAGAAAAAAAGACAGTTAATATAAAGTTTCCGAAATCATTTTTTAACAAAAGTACAAAGTGTGAAAAGTGTGCAGCTCAGATTGTGTTCTTGTATAAGATTGCATGTGTGTGCAGAGAGAGAGAGAGAGAGAGAGAGATGGCAGAGCTTTCTGTCACTTAACAAGAGGAAATCTTCACCATTCTGCCATGATTACAGCTCTCACAAACTGTCAGTGTGCGTGTAATGGACGGCCCTCAGCTCTGGGTTTTGTTGTGAATGTGTGATTTTTTATTTAAATTTTTTTTCTTAAAAAGACTGTGTCCTAACCAGGTGCAACACGACAACTTTCAGGCGACAAGTAATTTGTCTGACCTCCCGGAAAACAAAAAATGAGCACATTTTCACAGAACAGATGTGCAATATACGGCTAGACTGGGGTTCAAAAGTCCACTCTGAAAATATGGGATTTGATCTCATTTAAACCTGGAGAAATCCCAGAAGGTTTTAGGATTTATATATAAGGACTTAAAATGCTGCACTATTTGTAGTTTAATAAAAAAGAAACATTGTACACGTGAATTCCTTTGTACGGTAAAATGTACTTGCTTCCACTTAAGTTCAAGATGCAGTTTGGATCATCTCAAATCATGCTGGAAAACACGATCATCAAGTAGTTCAAGCAGCTTGAATGCTGCTGTTATTAAAGCAAAAGAGGGACAAATCAAATACAACAAATTCTAAAATTCATATAATTTTTTTCAATTTTTAATCACATTTTCACTCAAATTGTTAAGCTGATTATATAATTTTTTTTAAATTATTAAAATATAATTTTATTTGAATAGAAGCAATTCAGAATTTTTAACCTGAACAAAGACAAAAACCAAAGCAACACAATTTATATCTAATGAAAATATATAATAATTATTATATTATAATTATAAAATATCTGGTCACAGCTGCAACAAAATTCATAGCGATTGCGTTTGTTGCTTGTAGTTTGTAGCTTTATTGTGCCGCACCTAGATTGGACACAGTATTTTTGTATTTTTTTTTAACCACACATTTTATTTAGTTGGAAGTAAAATGAGACAAACTTCACCCCTCTCCTGTCCTCCTGTTTTTAAAGATTCATCTTTCACTCCTCGCCTCCAAAACTCTCCACCACTCCCTCTTTTCATACCCGTCTCTTTCACTTGAGAGCGATTTTGCGCGCGAGTTGAGAAAAGAACGCGGCGGGACTCGTTTTAGTTTGCCCTCCCTCTCTCTCCTGTTTAGTGAGCTCTAGCTCAATGGTCATAAGAACCCTGCCCTGCCTGCCCATCCCCGCTGCCTCTTCCTGGGCTTGGGTCTGGGTGGAGGAGGCCCCGCTCAGGAGCTCTAGCTCTCTGCTCCACAATCCCTATTTCTTCTCCCTGCGAGACTCCTGTTTCTTCTTCTCTGATGCTGCCGCCTTCAGCTTGGCCGGATCCGTCACAGCCAAAGCCTGGAAAGAGAGAGGGAGTGTGGAGACGGAAGGAGTGAGTCACTACGGGAGGAAAGAGAGAGAGAGAGAGAGAAAGAGGAATAAAAAGAAAGCAAAAATGGAAACGAGAAAGGGGAGAAGGAAAAAGAAGGGCTTGTGGGTTAAGGTGGGAATGGTCAGATGAGTTTAACGGATATGAGGAACCAGAATAAGGGAGGTAGTTTCATTACAGAAGAGAAGAAGAAGAAGAA